CCCGTGACTGCAGTACAATTTCAGTTCAAACTGACAAACATCTGGGCGTATGTCTATCAGTGCTTTTGTCAGAAGTCAAGGAACAACAGTGAAACCCTGTTTCTGGAACTATACCTCGCTATTGGCAGTGGTTAAGCGATGTTCGCTTCGTACAGGCCAGACGGCTCCTTTCTGTCCGTGAGGTTAAGGGAAGAACGTGCCTACTCTTTAAGGCACCGGAATCATGTAAGTGAATACATAATACATAATACTTGTCAGCTAAAGTATATTGATCTTCTATGTGCAGTCGGATACAAGCGAAAAATGAATTCATATTTAAGGCTAAAGGCATTGAGTGTTGGGACTGTCGAGTGATAAGACTGTAAAATTGAAAATATATTTGCTAGTTGGGAAGAAGGAATTAAACGAATACGATAACACAAATTCAAGAGGTGAAAAGTTACAACTTATAATCACAAGGATAACAAATCCGACATGCCCGTGAATACTAAGATCATTTATCGATACAGATCATAAATTTCTCCTCACTCCCTGCACGCTGTTTGTTCCAATTTGACTTGAAGTACCTTACCCTACGTTGTAAAACTTACAAAGAAGGAGATACATTATGCGCGCAAGGATATCATTTTAATAAAATTAAGGATTTTAGTGCTGTGTACATTTGAATGGGGATACAACAGTAGTGATTTTTGGAGAAGAAAATAATACGTGTTTATAATTTTGTTACAAACATTATATAGTATAACTATTTAGACGGACCTGCCGTTTAATAAAGATAAACGATTCAAAACACAGTCACTTGTAGTGTGTTATGTCACGTAATGTGACGCAGTATACTATACTGTTAAAATAATTACTGTGGGTACACCACTTGTTAGACCTCAGGATAGCAGCACTTGTTTCCTGTGAGAGAAAATCGGTAGGGTTATGAAATATCTATGGAGACATGTCAAGGTCGAGTAAACGAATGTGACTATGATCTCGACGTCTGTCTGTCTCGAAAAAATTTTGTCTGAAGTTTATAATCGTTTATAATCTAAAGCCAGGTATCTCAGACTCAGATTATAAAGATCTTGAATGTAATGCCATGTAAGGTTAGCAGATAGAACCGAACGTTTCGGAGGAATTAGCTGCTTCAGCCAACATTGTTGATGAGGATACACGTATATTGTTAACGGGTGGATAAGGAGTATCACTGACCCAAAGTCAAAATTTGGTTAATTGTATTAAAAACTAAATTCCTAGAAGTGTGGATGATATTCACTTTGGTTTATATGAAGTATTTCAGTTACATGACTCATATTTGAGACACAAGTTCCCCGTTCTGGATGCGTGTTGGTATGATTGTGTCGCTAGATCTGCAGGGTGATGTTGTAGCCCTGGCTGTCGGAGCTCGACATGTTGAACTGCAGCAGCACAATGAGGTACGTCGTCATCATGGTTCCGAGCTGCAAGAGAGAACCCGCCAATCTCTGAAGCTTAGTCAGTCGATCAGACAGTCAGCTATTTAGTCAATCAGCTGAGGTTACGGAAGAATTTTCAGCTCAAGTTTTCATTGTCTAGCTCTCTTTCCGTTTACAGGTTGGAGGACCGAGTATTCGGGGGAACTCCTTTTCGCTAGACGGACACAGAGCCAGCCTCCAAAATTTCATATATGTACTTCATCCAAATAATGGGCAAGGTCTAAAGAAAACTGCCTCACAATGCTACTAGACCTTTAGGATCGCACATTCGTCAGGTACTCTAGGGGAACTTAGCGACTTCAGTACCTCAGCTGACTGGAAAACAACGTACAAAATAATGAATAATTATTTAAAATCTCAAAGTAGTCTATAAAATAACGTACCTTATAACAAGCAATAACATAAGCACGAAACATTACGACTTTTAGAATAATTAGAAGAAAAACTGAACTCTTTGCCCGGCTGCAGAATTGTCTGACAAAATATTATAGACAAAGAATTCTCTGGTATCTTTGCAAATTCTTGAAAATAAATGGCCTAGAATATTCGAGGAATAATATGAGGCTTCAGTGTGCGTGTAGGCCATGGCCAAAAGGGTAAGGGCTCAAGTGATTCTCGGTCAAGTAAATAGGAGTACTAAAAGGTGGGTAGCCATGTATGAGGTAAACATGCTGCACCCTTTCACGTAATACAGATGATGAATCAAAATTAACTTCACTTGCTTAAGGTTGTCCATACAAATTACGTACTTATTTTTATTCAGCTACATGTTTCGACCTAATTGGCTATCCTCATGTTGATGACATATACTTTTCAAGCTCCACTATATTTCCTTATCCGCCGGCCAAAGTTTACGTTACTTCTGAAAATTGGTAGTTAATGTGGCTATTGTTAAAACTTTGTCACTGTTTAAGTATTACAAGTTAAAACTAAAACTATAGTTTGAGTTTGGTTTCTGTCGTTTGTTAATATTGCGTTGGATACCTCGTGCGTGTATTATGTCTTCTGTACGCGACGTTACGACCGTTATTCTTGGTTAGCAAGAGCTGCTATGAAGAGTTTGCTTGTACTTGAGACAGAGAAGCTGGTAACTGTTATACGATATAACTCCGTCCTAAGTGCAAACTATATTTATAGGTCTTTCGTTTTGTTCTTCTTTATACACTACATGTTTCGGCCCCAAGCGGCCATCGTCAGGTGTATACACTCACGTATCTGTTACACTGCACTTATTTATAACATTTAAAATTTAAAAACATAGGTCTTCCTGATTAGAACTTATAAAATCTTCGGTTCTGATTTTAAATAATTTAAAAAAAATTTCTCTAAGTTTTAAAATTTAAAAATGTCAGGGTTACTCGCCCTATGTCTATAGTGCTGCAGCGGCTTCTTCTTGTTTCTAGTACTGTATAGGTGTTATTCTGTGTAGTCTCATTGTGTGCGTGTCGCTGCTCTCTTTACTACGTGTTACGGAGTTATATCATATATCGTATAAAGTGCAACAGGATGCTTAAATATAATATTGTAAACTGTTGTTTGATACTGATGTATGTTATATGTATTTAAATGTTGTTCTTTCCTTGTGTATTGTCTATGTGGACTTATGCTATGTTCTTAATTTTCGTTGTAAGCTGTGCATTTGTGATTTGTCGTGGAAGTCACAGCAGGATTGTCTCCTCTTGGTTGACTTGCGTCTGTTATGGAATGGCGTATTTTTGTTCTTTCCCTGTTGGATAAGGATGCTGTTCATGAAGATGTCTGCGTGACTTGGGTTGTTATCGGTTGTAACCGATCATGAAGATAAAATAACTCTATACTTTTGTACGTTTAACAAGTTTTACTGATATGTATCCTCCACAGAAACTTATATCTCATTCGTATCTTTCATTTTCCATTACACATTTCGAGCCACAATCAGGTAGGTGCCAGTGCACAGGTACTCTACAGTAAATCGATTGATAGGCTCTAATGTTGAACCCATCACTACATTTTCAGTACATCGAGAGCACTAAGATTTTAAGTTTCATGTGAAATCGGTTTAAAAATACTCGTAGTGGTCACTTTTCGTTAAACGTTCTTCGATTATATCCATTGCCATTTGTAAACAGGAGGAAACTGTTAGCACACATTTTGGGACTACTCTCGAGGGCCGCACAAAATCAACTGACGGCCTGTGTGCTGCCGGTCTTTAGCGTAAGGTGAAGAATAGACCCCAAATACTGAAAAATCCTTTCAAGTACGACAGTCATGCATTGGAACAGGGACAACATAAGCTGCATATCGGATACTTACAGATATGAATAGAGTCCTGTTGATTACGGTGAAGTCGCCAAGACTGACTACAGGCGGAAATATGTCCATAGTTTTAAGGAACTTGTCAAACTGCAAAGAGAACACAGATTGGAGGCAGTGTAGGATGGGGTACCCAAAAGAAACCGAACTAATTTTTTTGTGGGCAGAGCTTTTGTAGTACCGCGTTTTGCCGCTATGAGCGCATAGAGCTAACATTCCTGAGTCGATAAGCCGACTACCGTTGCTTCAGAAGGTAAGGACTAGTTTCGGCAGAGTTTATAGTGACAACTGTTTTGTGTGATCGTCGTTTTTGCAATGGCCCGAACACATGAAAATGTTGAAAAAATTCGTGAAATCATCAAGGAAGATCGACGACGGACCATTGAAGAAATTGTGGAGCTGTCGGGAGTGACTTGGAGCTCAGTTCAGCGAATTTTGACAGAAGATTTGGGAATGAAAAGGGTGGCTGCGAAATTCGTGCCACGACTGCTGACTGTTGAACAAAAACAAGGTCGCGTGGAAGCATGCTGTGCTTTGAAAGAAGAGTCCCGAAATGATCAAACTTTTTTTTTTGTTTCCTCGAATGAAAAGAGACATGAAAGGAAAGCGTTTTGCTGATGTTGAGGTGAAGGAAAAAGCGACGGAGGCGCTGTCAAGCATCTCAAAAGATGAATTTAGACAATGTTTTGAAAAATGGAATAAAAGACTAGACAAGTGTATTAGTGTAAGTGGAGAGTACTTTGAAGGGGATTGAAGGTTTGTGGTATTGAAGGATTGAAGGTATTTGAATAAATAAGTTAAAAAAAATAAGCTCGGTTTCTTTTGGGTACCCCCTTGTACATTGTGATTACCCAGGTATATGTGCATGGGGTACTGATTGTCTTACGAGGTTTTATGACTAAGTTACATAACTGATAACTGTTTTAATGTGTGTGGGGGGGGAGCTGAATGTCACAGTACTTATCTAGTTTGTGCCATTCAATGTGAGCATCCCTTTGGTAATCTGCTTTAGTACAATTCAGTTTACACATCAAATTTTGCGTGATCCGTGGACTATAATATTAGGACTAAGTAAGAAACTCTGTGGCTTTAGTCCGCAAGCGAACTATACGGCCAGACCGAGCGACCGCAGATTGTCGGCGAAGTTAGTGCCAACTTTAGCTGATAGAGGGTATCGCATGGTCAGCGCAACGAATCCCGACGGCCGTTGATTTCGATTTTCTAGACCGGAGCCGCTACTTTTCCATTCAAGTAGTACTTAGTTATCCTCACGAGGCTGAGTGGACCCCGTTCCAGGCTCACTATATCTCAGAAAATCTGGTAGAGCCGGGAATAGAACCCAGGACCTCTGGATCTGTAGCCAGGAACTCTAACCACTAGAGCACAGAGGCGGTCTATTAGGACTAAGTATATGTTATGAATGCTGCTGCTGCTATTAATACTAATAGTACTTATATTCACAAAAAGAATTAATCGAATTAAAATAGGTCTATATCAGATAAAGTTACTTCGTATTCCTCGTCAATAAATTAAAGTATATAAACCACTCACCTCAAACTAGTGCCGAGGTCACGAAAACGTGGGTCTATAAATCCACTCCCCCATACGCCTTCATGGCGTAGTGCGTAATTAGTTAAGCTCGTGGACATTTTTTTTTTTTCCTTGGCACTACAGCCCCAGTGGGCCTAGGGCTACCTCCATGAACTTCTCCGTTCACTTCGGTTTTTCGAGATCTTACACATTCGGTAGGACTCCTTGGGTGGGTGATCAGCTCGTCGCAAGGATTCTACCTGTACACAAACACAGAAAAACACACACACACACAAGCTAAACATCCATGTCCTGAGTGGGATTCGAACCCACGATCCCGGTTTCCAAGTGAGCGAAGACAGTTCATGCCTTAGACCGCTCGGCTACCGTGACCGGCCAACTTTACCTTACCTTACCTTTTATATAAGAATTTACTCAGGCCATGCAAACCCCACAGTGGGGGACAGAATTAAGTCAGCAACAGTTTTCATCAGTGTGACGAATCACAGCTGGATTTCTCTTATTCCTCCGAGGGGTCATTGTGTTATAGTCTGTTATTTCTCAGATCGGAGACTCTCGCATCCGTGACTATGTGCAGCGCTCTCCTCTGGATAGAGACTACTTGTAGTGTCACAAACGTTTACCAATGTTTCGGAGAAGCGTATGCCTCAGAGCCGAAGATCTCTTCAAACCTTCCGCCATAGATGATTTCAGTTAGTCATTGAAAATCGAAGGAATTATGTAAATGTAATATGTATGGCTGTACCTCCTTCTGAACAGCTTTGTCGTTACAAGACCATCGAGCTTCCAGAAGCCCATCTCGTATTTCGTCCCCAACCTGTGGACAAACAATTGTCGTTCACGTCGCCAGAAAGACTTAGTTTGCAATGTAAACACATTTGAGATAAAATTACAGCAGCTGTGGGGCTAGGGTCATAAGGTTTCGGGTCTCTAGAACACTGCGAAAGCGGATTCAAATGCATGGATTATGTCATTGTCTTTCAGTGTGCATTTCGTTTTTCATTTCGCTTTCAGTAGCAGGATCATACACAGGAAGATCCAAAAGTCGCGCACATCACACCAAGCAATTATATTTTGCTGGTTTAATGCACGAACTACAAGACATAGAGCCCTTAGTTAGTTATTTAGAGAGGGTGGGTTTCCCCATGCACCGCGACCAGTTTGATCTATTGTGCTTCCCTCTATGATATTCTACCAGTCTCTATACCCTACCGATAAATGGTGCGTACCATCAGTCCCGCCGAGCAAGCGAGTTCGGCCACTTGCTTAGCGATGTCTATAATGCTTCCCCCATCTATCAGAGGCCTTAGAGATTATTGTTGGGCGGGAAACGTCCTGGAATTTGGTTCAGTGATCCCCTTTGGGGATATGAGGTTCTTTTACATGGCGTAAAGTTACGACACGGGACACTCAGCTTAAAGTCCCTCCCGGAGGGCTTGTTCCCTGAATTTTTCCGCCCTTAAAAATTCGACGACCTCCGCCGGGTATTTGAACCCGCGTACCACGAGTCACGAGGTGGGAACGTTACCCCTAGACTACGGAGGCCGCTACATAGAGCACTTACTATTAATGTTTATAACCATACAACTTAGAAATGCAAAATCAAATCATGTCTTTACAACATATGCTTGAAATGGCTTCCTTGTTCAGCAATGCATGCGCGAGCTCTTTTTACCATGTTTGAGGCCACCTGTAAACTGATGCTGTTAATCGCCGTCGTAATGTTCCTCTTGAGGTCATCCAGTGTATGAGGATTGTTTTTATAGACAATTCCTTTGAGGTAACCCCAAAGCAAAATCTACGGGTGACAAATCGGGCAAACGCCGGGCCACAATCCTTTCGAAATGAGACGGTCACCGAAAAACTCGCGCAAGAACTGCATGGTTTCATTAGATGTGTGGCATGTCTTGCTGCAACCATCGAATGTTAGCACGATATATGCGAATGGTGAATCGGTAAGGATTTGAATGGAAGCGGTCTTGGCTTATATCGATGTACTGCCCTGCCATTTTCTCGGAGGGCCTAAGGAAACCAACGAGGCACCTCAGTCAGGCTAACTGGTGTCCCGGTAGGAATTCGAACCATGGACCTCGCGAGTTCGTGTGTAAATCGTTGCCGCTACGCCAATCGTTTCGATGCTTTCCTGTGTCACTCTGTATTATTTATTCTTTTTTATTGCTAGTGGATTAGAGACCTGTATAGAGGAATAAATGACTTTAAGAGGGGTTACCAGCCTAGCACTAATTTAGTGAAGGATGAGAATGGTGATCTGCTTGCAGATTCCCACAACATTTTGAAGAGGTGGAGGAACTACTTCTCTCAGTTACTGAATGTACATAGGGTCAGTGCTGTTAGGCGGACAGAACTCCATACAGCTCAGCCGTTAGTACCTGATCCTAGCCAATGATATGAATCTACTGGGTGATAACGTAGATACCATAAAGATAAACACACAAACTTTAATTGACGCAGGTAAAGAGGTTGGTCTAGAAGTAAACACAGAGAAAACTAAGTATATGTTACTGTCTCGTCACCAAAATGCAGGGCAAAATCATGATATAAAGATAGGAAACAGATGTTTTGGAAATGTGGCACAGTTCAGATATTTGGGAAAAACGATAATAGTTCGAAACCTGATTCAGGAGGAAACTAAGAGATTGAACTCGGGTAATGCTTGCTACCATTCAGTACAGAACCTTTTGTCTTCTCGTCTGCTGTCCAAAAACATAAATATTAGAGTATAATTTTGCCTGTGGTTCTGTATGGGTGTGCAACTTGGATCGGTAGAAGACAAACAACTGATGGTGTGTGAAAATGGGACTAAAAGTTTTTACTTCGTTTGAAAAAATATCTGAAAGGACCGCAAAATCTGAAAACCATAACTGTCTGCATGTTACACCCCTGATATTACTGAGCAGATTCAAACGAAATTTGATGTATAAGTGTACATCACACTTTTGACCATTAAATTTAATTATGGTTAATATCGGCGAAATATCTGACTGGCTGCTGGCTGGACGACCGAAGGGTCAGATTTCGAGTCCGGGTAGGGTCAATAATTTTCACTTCTCCGTGTCGTCTACACCGGCACTGGAGGCCATCCAAACTCCTATCCAATGGGCACAGGGGGCCCTTTCTCCGGTGATAAAGTGGCCGGGGCGTGAACCTGACCACTCACCTCTAACTAGTGCCAAGGTCAAAAACCTGGGTCTATAAATCCATTCCCCATAAACCTTCATGGCCAAGTGCGTAATTAATTGAGCAGGGGAACAAATTTAACTCTTGTCTATCGGAGAAATATTGCCCTCCTTTACATGGAACGAAAACAGATATAAGCATGTACGTACAAACCTATAGTACAGGAACGAACACCACATCCCTATTTCAGATCATATGAAGAATCCCACGCTAAAAACGAACGCACTTCAGCGAACACCACATAGAAATCTGGCAACGCAAAGCAAAAGAGACATGACAACAGAAAAGAAAAGGCGGAAAAATAACATAAACACATACATAGCGTAGTCGGTATGGCGACCGAGGGATCGGAGTTCGAGGCCCGGTGCAGTCAAGAATATTCTTTTATCCATGTCATCCATACCGGCTCTGGGGCCCACCAAGCCTCTTATCCAATGAGTACCGGGTGGCCTTTCCCCGGGGTTAAAGAGACAGGGGCGTGAAGCTGACCACTCACCTCCAGCTAGTGCCGAGGTCAAGAAAAATGTGGATCTGTACATCCACTTCCCCATACGTTTTCACGGCGTAGTGCTTAATTAGTTAAGCACAGGGACATATTTACCTTTCAGTATTCAGTATTGAGGGGATGGGTTTTCCCATGCACTTAGACCAGTTATGGGTCCATTGTGCGTCCCCTTTTAATCTCTACTGTCTCCAGACCCTACCGGTACTGGTGCTCGCTATCAGCCCCTTTCTGCCAGCGAGGTTCCGATCCTCTACTGGCAGTTGTATCTAATAGTTAGTCCCTTTCTGTCAGAGAGGTCGCCCCTCCTCCGGCAGTGGTACCTAATACTTCCCCATCTACCGGAGGCAATGGAAACTACTTTGGGCGGGAAACTTTTTGGCCAAATTTAGCTCAGAGGTCTCCTAGAGACATGAGGTTCTTTTACGTGCCGTAAATCTACGACACGGGACCCACGGCTTGAAGTCCCTCCCGGAGGACTTGTTCCCTGAATTTTTCCGCCCATAAAAATTCCAGCACCTGCGCCGGGTTTGAACCCGCGTACCTTGAGTCACGAGGTGGGAACGTTACCCCTAGACTACGCTACATATTTACCTTAATAAATATGTACATGTATACACCGTTTAGCATCTAACGTAATTTTAATTCCAATTAGATTATTTAAGTGTTTTCAAAACGTTGAAGTCTTATATTGTGACATGCGCACCGTTTCCAGGAAACAAATTAGCAAATGCGTTGCCACGGAGAAATTACGAAACAGACCGTTTTTTTCCCCGTACTGAACACACGGTTTCCGAGACACCGCATTCATGAAGAGCAGTTAGGGAACCCGAGCCTGCGATCTCTATTCCGGCCGCCTTGCACTTGTAAAAGGGAGTTCGTCATACGGCATTCGTCTCAGTGGAAGAGAAGACGCTCGTGGTCCAGTAAGGAATGGAGCAAGTTGTAAACAGTAATTGATGTGAGCTGGCATAATTGATTGTATGTGCCAATGAATAAATTCATGTAATCCACAATTCATTTTTACTAGTCACGCTAACCCCGAATACATGATAATATTTAATATATATATTTCATAACATAAGAGCATTACATAAACAACATGCCTGTAGAACGAACTCCCATTGTGTAAATACTGGAGAGTATAGGGAGGTAGGTAAAAAATAAAGTTTTCCCTGTGCTTAACTAATTAAGCACTATGCCACGAAGGCGTATGGGGAAGTAGATGTGTAGATCCATATTTTCTTGACCTCGGCACTAGCTGGAGGTGAGTGGTCAGCTTCATGCCCCTGCCACTTTACCCCCGGGGAAGGTCCCCCTGTACACTTGGATAAAAGGTTGGGTGGCTCCAACAGCCGGTCTGGACGACTTGGAGACGAGAATTTTCTTGACCCTACCGGGACTCGAACTCCAACCCCCTCGGCCGTCCAACCCATAGCCAGTCGGTATACTAAATACGCTATCCCGGCTCCTATAGGGAGGTACAGGAGAGAGAGAGAGAGAGAGAGAAGGGTGACTGTAAGGACTCTGTGTACCTGACGATGGCCATAATAGGCCGCAATATGTTGTACATGCAAACGTGCAGTGTGTTTATACCAGAACTGTGTAGAGTGAGTAGTAGCGAACATTATCTTACACACAAGATGACGCTACACTGTAACATTTCTAACGTAAGTTTTGTCAATTAGAATACCCCCCATCCTATGAAAATCGATGCATAAGATTAGACCATTTATATAGTCCATAACTGAAAACTACACTTTTCTATGTGAGATACTTTTTTTAGATATCGTAAGTTTTATGTGTTTTCCAGTGCTCCTGAGGAATATAATGAACTCACATCTCGTGAGGCGTTGTTCGCTGCGTTGCAGATCAGGTACAGAGTGTACTCCATGACACAGCATTCAATCGCCATTAGTACCTGATCTGCCCGCAGTTGGCGCGCCAGGTTGCTCATTGTGTGGTACACGAAGAAAGTCAGGCTGAGGAACATGTACAGAATGTAGAAACCGTATGTATACGTCATAGCGCAGCCGGTCTGACGTACCAAGCGGCTCAATTGAACCCACAGCTCCCTGTGAGTGTCGATAATCTGCAGGACTCTTCTCGGAGATTCTTCGCATTCCTGTAGAAAGAGAAGTACAAGAGCATAATTATGTTAGGGGTTGTTTGAATACGGAGCGACAGAACAATTAGCAGAGGCGTGTCATTGCTGTAGGCTCAAGGAAAGGTGAAAGGTTAAGTCGCTCCTGTGCTTAATTAAGCACCACACCTCCAAGAAGAACGAATGAAGTATGAGCATAGCAGTGCGAATTCTTACCCTCTGCACTAGTTGGAGGGGTTGGAGGGGATCGGTTAGCTTCACACGTCGGCCTCATTACCCCTGCGGGGAGGGCTCCTTGTACCCGCTGAATACGAAACTGGGTGAGCTACAGAGCCCATCTGAACGTGGTCACGAGGAAAAAATTATTTGTCCCCATCGAGAATGGAACCCCAATCGTTACTAATTAAATAAAACTAGCGAACTCCATGGAGATTAGTCTTGTTGAGAATCTGTCAGTCGCTCAGCTACTCAAGATTTTCCCAAGATTTTAAGGAACCGGAGGTTCATTACTGTGTTCGCAAGAGCCCACTACTAGTCCCTATCCTGAACTAGATAGTCCAGTCCATACCGTCCCATCCTATTTCTCTAGGCTACATCTTAATATTGTCACCTGATAGTGTGACTATAGACGGGTTTTGGGTTGACGATCTGATTTATTGGACTCTTTGATAGAGTGCGTGACTACACTTTACAGTTCACTGTCACACACACAGTCACGTCTTCACTGGCCGTTGCTCGGTAGCGGTTTTGAACGGCGGACTTCCACCTTCCTCTGGATTCCCGAACTGTCCCCGGCCTCAGCTACCAGCTTCTCGTAGCAACAGCTCGTAATGACTGAACCTTAACATTTCTCCAAGTAACTCTCTGACTAACTCAGTCACTCGCCAACCAACAGAATTCAACTGACTCTCGCTAACTAACAGTCCTGCTTATAACATCTCGGCATAGACCGCCCTGAAAACACCGTTCCATTATTGATTCGAATTGTTGAGGTGGAACCATGCTTGTCTGTGAAGCCGTTACTTAGTAACGGCTGTAGTATATTTATCTCGCGGTTGTTTCTCAGCAACGATCGTACATACCATAATATCATCCTCCCGCCAACTCTGAGTGAATCTACGAATGTCATTCCTTCTGGCTTCCCCACACACCGTGTATGCATTCCACTTTTCCCCCATGCGTGTTACATGACCTTCTCATCTTACCCGCCTTGGCTTGATCATTTTGATTACATTTTGCGGAGAGTGTAAGTTAAGAAGCTTCTTATTATGTAATTTTCTCTAACCTCGTATTACTTAATCCCTTTTCGGTCAAAATATTCTCTTCAGCAGCCTGTTACTCAACTGCTCTCAGCCTATGTTCTTCCTTTAATGCCAGAGACCAAGTTTCACACCAGTACAGCACCACAAACAAAATTATACTTGTTTTACATCCTAACATATTTAACATCACACTTTACAGGGAGGGAATCCTCGCTCCCCTCTGATGCTGTGTTGAGCCCCGTAGTCCCTCTGGGTCCGGGGCTGCCTCCAGTTACCCAGTTGGAACCACAAGGTCGAACTGGAGGAAGTTGTATCGTGTCTGCATTGAGCTTTATCTCACCTTCCGGAAATTTCTCCAGAGGCTCCCGGCTGCTGACGACAGCGCCCCACACGTGAGGTGCCAAAATGTTACCACATAGAAGCGTACCACGTCGAGGTACCATTCCTTGACGGCCACCCACCAATCCACCCACACATCGTCTCCGTTCGTCAGCTGGTAGATGACTTCAAAGCTAAAGATGAGGACCGGCAGAACGCACATGATAATGAAGACTTTCCGTCTCAGGCCCAGGCTCAGAGGTCGACCCGTCATTTTGCTGTACTTCTCCTGCAACAGACGAAGGCATCTCGACTCGTGTAATGCTTTTGCTGTACCTGACGTATTAGCTCGGATATAAGAGAGGGATTCTTTCAAATATTGCTTCATAGAAAAAAAAAGTCTCCTTATTTTCAGGTCCTTAAGAACAAATATGGAGATGAGTTCTGTTTGTTAATTCTGATGTGTTGATATTTGTGAAAATACCTAGAATAATATTCAAGGTATTAAATTTTAAATTTATTATTATTTAACTCTATAGTTTTACTTAATTTTGCTTACAACCCTCAGAACTGAGTTAAAGAGAAGGTTCCTTTTTCTGATTTTGCGATTGGAAAGATAGGGGTTTGCCGTATATTCAGGCTGATACGGTGCTTCGAAATTACTCAGAACTTACCAGGTGTACTTTTAACGTAATCTGTTTCTTACTCATTCAGTGTTTCATTTGTGGTTACATATATTTACAGCTTCACAGGTTTATTAACAAACGGACCCTTTGGGTTGTACTGTTCACAACATATAATCCTTTCAGCACAGAATTAAAGTGCAAATTAGTGTGAAAATTGCGAAATCGTACTTGCGGAAAGTGACGCTATGCAGTCTTTTACATGGCTACTAACGTCTCGTAGGAACCTACTGCCTCCATCTTCAGGGTAGAAGAAGAGGACCGTGAAGATATTGCAATGATCTTTATGACCACAACAGTGAAAATCTCGCATAGCTTATAATGTGAGAATTACATACACCCTATCAACAAACCTCGAAGAAGGATGCACAAACATCCATAATTTTTCCAGAATTAAGCAAAATGCAATTAAGCAATTTATTTATATGGATCAGAAAAACACTAAGTAGGGCTCAAAAGTTAATGTGACCACATCAGCTGAAGAGGTCATACAACAGTGGCTAAGAAAGGGCGAAATGTGTTGAGAAAGAGAGAGTTATTGCCTGTTTCCAAGCCCTTTTTGGAATTTGTCTGGAGAGACAGAGGGAAGCTTTGGATATCTATTGTGGAGTAGGACTCCTGTCTGTGTCATGCTCACTGCCAGTGATGTTTGAAGGGTTTTCGTTAAGTATTAAGGCTGATATTAATATAATACTGTTGAATATTGTCCTATGCCCTTAAGTAATCTCTTTATGGTCCTTTGTACAGAGACCATATAATTGATGGAGACCGTGAACTATTTGCATGTTTCATTAATCGAATAGACTTAACAGCCACTGTAATGCTCTCGCCCCAAATATGCACCCGTCCACAAAATGACAGTATTTTATTATTCACGGCTTTCACTAAGGTGTTTAGAGACTGGAGCATGTGGAAAAGGGCAGGTGCAGTGAGTTCTTCGCTCAACTTCCTGTGGGAATCACAAGCCAGTTGAAACCAATGAAACTGACCTGAAATCGAGCCCAGCTGGACAGGTAGCGAGCGATGTTGTTGGCTTCCGGCCAGTTAATGACTGGGATGGCCAGAATAATGAGGAAGTAAGAGACAGCCATGAAGACGAAGAACATGACATTGAAGTGGCGATGTGTGGCCATGAGTTCCTGGAGTCGCACCCCGGTCGTGAACCATAGGATGACAAGCATCGTGAAGTAGAGACATACGGAGTAGATCATCAGGGGCGAGAGAGGGCTGAACACCCACATGCCTGTACAGTACAATCACAACTAGTTATTCACAGTGTGTAACCAGCTGGACTTTACATCACATCTGCCAGTGCATTCTGACATATCGCCGTAAGTGTGACTGATGTTCGTTGTCTATCAGTGTCATTATGCTTTTCGTCTATTGTGCAATTTTTTATGAGCTTGCTCTGTGAAAGACATTAAAACAAGAGCCTAGGAAAATAGAAACATATCTCTAAAATAGTAATGTACATGTAACAACAGCTTGTAATATGAAAAGAGATGGGCAGAAAACACATGTATCGAAAGGTAAGACTTTGACATAAGATGAAGACTTGTTAATGCATGTCATATTTAGTGACAGTTAAGATACGGGGACAAGATTGTCTAGTCAAGTGATGAGAACTACAGTACAGGACGCAAATAGATATTTGCACTAGATCCTTCCAGCCGCACTAGGCCCTGGGGTTCACTCAGCCTCTAACAGAAATGAGTACCAGGAATTAAATAAATACTTTTCCTGGGGAGTAAAGCGCGGCCGGCGCGTAAGGCTGACACCCTTACCATGTGTGAGCCGAGTGTCTCAATAATGTGAGATCCTCGACGTCTCACAACCCTATGGGCCTTCATGGTCTGTTACAGGGATAGCTTTACTTCTTTACTTTTACTAGATACCCATACAGACAGTGGACAGTAAAGTTCTGCAACTAGTAAAATTTTATAAATAATTTTANATCCCTTGGTGACGTCACCGCTGTTGACTCGCGTTGCGTAACTGCCAGGTTGCTGGGACTCGGCTAACTTCGGCTCCGCTCGGCTCACTTCGGCTGGCGGGGGGGGAGGGGCGTCATCCATAGCTCAACATGTCACAATATATATCAGTGGCAGATCTATTGTACAACAAAAGTTAGCTGGTTATACACTGTGAATATCTCAACAGAACAGTTCGGCCAACCCTTTCAGAGCCGTCGGCGGGTTAGAACTCTGCATGTGTGTCATCATATTCCGGCGTCTTAGTGCTGTTCTGTAATAAGCAGGGTGACAAAAATGTTGATGAAGAACACACAGGACAAGAAGAAGAAGAAGAAGAACAACAACAAAAGAAAAGTGACGGAGGAGACTGAAGACGGGAAGAGAACAAAAGAAGAAGAAATTAAGTAGTTACGAGAAGGAAGAGAAGAACAAAAAGGAGGAATGCATGGATAAAGATTATGAAGGAAGGAAAGAGACATGAGGACAGTAAGGATGAAAATGGCATGAGAATAAAAGAGACAAGAGGGAGGTGGCAGAAGAAGTTACAGACTAGTAAAATGACAAGGAGGATCACAAGAAGGAGAACTAGAAAGCGAAATGGGGGATGTGATGTGATATTGAGAGCCGGAACAGGCCATGAGGCCTAGACCGTGAAGATGAAGATAGTGGAAAGGTGGCAGGAGGAAGAAATAAGAGACGAATAAGAACAAGTGGAATAAGGAGAGAGTTGTATAAAGTAGGAGGAAGGGGCAGAATGTAGAAGTGGAGCTCATGTGTATTTTTCTATGATCTCCATACGCTTTCCCCTCTCTAGGATTTCTCTTATTTTCGGTTGCTTGGGTCTGAAAGGGTTAAAATATTACATGTATCTCACGTGTTTTCTGTTTTACTCTAGTAAGAGTGTGTAAATGTAATGGCATAGTCGTCTCCGCCCCTAGGCACCACACCGTCAAGGTGTACAAGGAGCTGAAATGCATTCTTCGTACCAGCAGATGGCGCTATCAGTTTAAAGCTCCAGCCGCATTATTCCAAGAGAAAGAATTCCACAAACGTAGCAGTGGCAGACTGGGAACGAGACAGATATGGAGGCGAAGTGTAAAATTCTTCCCTTGCCTTATCAAATCCAAGTAATTCACTGCATAACCAGGCATTTCACCAAGAGCGCTACCCTGGCAATTCCCAGTTGGTACATAAACTGTCAGAAGTTAAAGGAATCTAAGGATATATCCTTCGAAATTTCAACTTCACGTCTAAGGACTACATTAAATTTACCAGAAAAAAAAGATTGAGCGAAAATATGTAATTTTTACGTGAAGTTCCACCTGACTGGATATTTAAAGAAATGGGGCAGATCTACTAATTACATTAATATCTTGAACTGAACTTCATGATGTCTCTCAGTTTTTCAGCTTAGTGTAAATATATGTACGAAGCTACACCGTTCCAATTGAACTGATAAGGGGCAGACAAGAACTTCACTATTCCGGGGAGGTACAATATAAGCAATAGTCGTGGCCTAGGAAGGAGAGAGAACTTGCTGCTTACTCAGCCTTACCCGACCGTTCCTAAACCAAAGACAAGAAAGAAGTTGATTGTCATGGAGACTGCACACGTGATCGGTTGCAGCGCTGCAAGATTAGCAATACAACTTGAAGACCCCGGCTAGGTCCGTCCGAATGGTTAATTTTTAGCAGTGCTAGTGGGGCCTTGGGACAACGGCCCGATGTTGACGAATTGCTTGAATGATGGCTGGGGAAGAGGAAACCGAAATATTCGTAGACAAACATGCCATTTTGTCGACTACAAATTTCCACATGGACTGCACTGGAACTGAAACCAGACCTCTGCCACGGTGCACCGCTCCGTCTGGTTTAACCAATCTGTGCACATATAAATTGTTAAGGGAACATTTTAACTTACAGCTTGACTTGGTAAAATGATACCTCTGGGTGTCTTCGTAATGGGGATGATGCCGCTCACTTGTAGTACTTTGATGATTGGGTTCAGCTCCCGGTTGAAAGAGTTTAGTGTATCCTTGACTCCGGTGAATTTATTTTGCGGAGTTTCATTGCTTGGATTAGTCTTCACGAGCTGCTGATTATCACTGAACATAGACACGGGTGCAACCTCGCGTATGAGGATGTTGGTCGTATTCAGCCTCGTGTCTGAGCCCGGGAACGCCGACATCTCGGCCTGCAGCTGCCTTCTCGCTGTACGCCCCGGTTCTCTGTTTATGAAATAAAATGCACATAAGCTTTTGTTATGTCCAGGAATGAAAGGTAAACAAACTCATCTGTTCTTGAACGTTCAGTTAACGCACCTGCACTTTATCAAGACTGAAGATCGGAACATCAGCTACCAGCGTCTGACAGTAAATCATTGACCAGTCCGCGCTCTTAACGTAAGTTCTCGTTTAACGTCGTGAAATCGTTCTTGTAATCCGCGACGTTATGTGAAACGACGTTGAGCGCAGAACTTTTTATCATAAGAAACTTAAGAAATAAGTAGGTTACGTTCTTCAACATCTCTTCACTCCGTAACATGCTTTACAATACAGAATATATAAAAGCCACTGTCTCTCCCGTGGCCTGTAGTTCGCAAGCGAACTATACCGACCGAGAGACCGCCGCTTGTCGACAAAGTTAGTGCAAACTTTAAAGGATAGATGGTGTCGCATGGTCAGCGCAACGAATCCCACGGCCGTTAATCTCGTATTTAAGACATGAACGCCACTGTGACTATAAATACTTGTATGTACTTGGCTATAAATACAGGCAATTATGAGCTGCAATTAAGTTTATTTAACTTTTAATGATATATGTGAGTCGCCGACGACGAAAGTGAAGCGAGCGAACGGTGGAGCAATGTTATTTACTTATTTGCTTCAGTAAACTTCCTCTTCGATTATTTCCCCAGACTCTGGGATTAAGTGTTAACACAACGATTTATGGAGCCTTGGTAAGAAAATAATATTAACGTAATAACGTTAACTGGGACAAAGCGGCCTCCGTAATCTAGAGGTAACGTTCCCACCTCATGACTCGTAGTACGGGGGTTCAAACCCGGCGGAGGTCGTGGAATTTTTAAGGGCGGAAAAATTCATGGAACAAGTCCTCCGGGAGGGACTTTAAGCCGTGGGTCGCGTGTCGTAGCTTTACGGCACGTAAAAGAACCTCATATCTCCTAAGGAGGTCACTGAGCCAAATTCAAGGACATTTCCCGCCCAATATTAGTCTCTAACGCCTCTGATAGACGGTGGAAGCATTATAGATACCGCCAAGCCAGTAGAGGCCGAACTCGCTGGCTTGGTCGGGACTGATGGTAAGCACCAGTATCGGTAGGGTATAGACTCTGGTAGAATATCATAGAGGGAAGTACAATAGATCAAACTGGTCGCGGTGCATGGGGAGACCCACCCTCTCTAAAAATAACTAATAATAATAACTAACTGGGACAACGTTAAGTGAGGACTTACTGTGTCTCATTTATTTTTCAGTTTTTAGTTTGTACACTAGGCCTAAGTTTCATATTTGCTTTCATTGGTATTATTATTTTTAAATGCTTTATAGGCAATTATTCGAAATAAATGTATGTACTTTTATCATATAAGTGGGATACGCGGTAGCATAGTTGCTTGAGACACTATGCTACAATCCGGAAGGTCGCGGGTTCGAGTCCCGATTAGGTGGATTTTTTTATTGATCTAATCCTCTCAGCCGCACTATGGCCCTGGGGTCGACTCAGCCTTTAACAGAAATGAGTACAAGAAATCTTGGCGGTTGGCTTGTAAGGCTGACAAACTTACCGCCATCTATGAGCCGATTGTCTAGAGAAAATGTGGGAGCTTCGACGTCTCACAACCCCATGGGCCTGCACGGCCTGTTACGAGGAAAAATTTACTTTTTCTTTACTTATGGCATGAGCACTGTATTTGAGCTGGAGAGAGGGGAAGGGATAGGAATGTAGAGGAAATTACGTAATTAGAAGCTTCATTATTAATACTAATTTATGAGGTGTTAAAATCAAGGGCAATGAGGTGGGAGAAACCTATAGCTCGCACGAGGGACATGAGAGTGACACACCACGTTTTGTCGACAAACCCAAAGGGAAGGGACCACTTCCGAGACAGGATGCGACCGTGTTAACCGGATTTATCAACCCCATTAACGTCCAGTGTTTGACTCCTCTTAATACGGTAACGAAAAATCTAATTCCCTAGAAAGCCAAGTGGCCTACTTATTGACCAGCTGAGCAACTGTCACGCTTCTCAAGAAAGCCTCTGCTCAATGAGTTGTGTGTAGCAGGCCTATATATTTCCACTCTTCTCTGTTACATTTGTATTGTCCTGCCGATCACAGTGGCCGCGTGGTCTAAGGCATGAACCGTCTTCGCCCGCTCCAACACTGGGATGATCTCGGGTTCGAACCCAACTCGAGACATTGATATCTGCGTGTAGCGGCCTTGCGACGGGCTGATCCACCGTCCAAGAAGTCCTACCGACTCTGTATAAGTTAGGAAACTGAAACGCGACCAAAGTCCACAAGGGCAGTAAAGCCATAGATAGATATGAATTATGCCGTATCATTGTGGCTATAATTCTCATGTTTAAATTGAAGGAAAATTCACTTCGGTATGGCGAACTTGAGATTAACGAACGAGTTTCAAAGAGACCATCACATTCATAAGACAATGAGTTAGTGTGCAAGGACAGTGAATTGAGTAAATTGCTTGATGTAGTGTGTTTTTTAAGTCTTCACACGAAAAATGAAACAACTCCAATTCTCAGCTGCAATGCAGTTACTGGTATTTGAAATTCAAAGTTATTTGAACAGACATAAGTAAGGTTTATTAAGGAAAGATTAATGTACATTTCAGTTTTTTAGGTGTTCAGAATTGACACTTGTGTGTTGGATGTACGTTCTGAATAATTTGTTAACGATCCATGTAACCTTACTTAGAACATCAGGGTCAATTATGCGTCTCACAGCATCGAAAACTAGATGAAGTAATTCGTCTTAACTCCTTACTTTGCTCTCATAAACCACGTCCGCCGTATAACCCAATACCTGGATAGCTAGTGGAGCGAGGTCCGGTGACTGTGGTGGTCAATTCTGTGGACTACTACTGCCAACCCATCGGCCAGGGNTGAAGAAAGCAGTCTTCTGGGATTTGGCACCGTGTATCTGTGGTGTTAACCGACGTTTCGGAGGAACGTATCGCCTCCATCTTCAGGGTAGAAGAAAAAATATATAAGAAATCTGCAAGCAAAGAGACTGCTTTTACCGGTTCTCACGGTCTCTTTGCTTGCAGATTTCTTATATATTTTTTCTTCTACCCTGAAGATGGAGGCGATACGTTCCTCCGAAACGTCGGTTAACACCACAGATACACGGTGCCAAATCCCAGAAGACTGCTTTCTTCAAGGATATTTTAGTTTGCAAAATATTTGGCGTAATTACCACCTGATAGAAGTTCCTGTAAGACGTGTGATTCAGCGAGGTGTCCACCAAAGACACTATAACGCACATTTATAAAGAAACTAATTGGGAAATCATTACCGATGTTACTTGTGGATTTTCATGAGCTCACAAATGGCAGATTCTGGTACTGTTCATTGCCAAGCGGGTATAGTTGTTTTATTGCAGAATAAAATGTAGTCGATTGTGCGGCAAACCAGTGACAGTGTTTCAATATTCTATCCATTTTCACGTGTTTGAGATGTCGAATTCGCCAGATGTGATACAGACACAGACCTTCAGTGCGTGACGTTTGCCGGAGTCTGATATCTAGGACAGCGCTTTCCGTTGCAATGGGCTTGATGATTTCTTATTCTTCAACATTTGGTCGCATCCGAAATGCAGAAAAATCCGACACAATCGAAAATGAGTTACTATCAACAAAGTGTCGATGGATAGAGCTAAACATCCGTCCATCCATCTGGAATTTTTCGCAGGGGAAATGGCCGCCGAAATTCTTCAACTTCAGCCGTCGCTTTGCTGTTAGGAATTTGTATACAGAGATAATATCTGCGTATTCTTCATCTACAGATGCAAGTGACTCGTTCACAGTTACATTCGGTAGCAAAGTAACAGCCTGATAGAAAACACACGCACGGCCTGACTGACTTTATGCTAGCTGGAGCACTTCCAGTGAGTAGTAGTTCGTTTGAATTCATCCATGCCAGCTCGCTCATGCGCAGAACTTACAACAGGAACTAGTCATAGCGCCATAACCGCTGAGAATCAGACACAAGTTTGTATGATATTTCTGACTGGGAATGGCAACAGGATTAAGATTCTGAAATAACAGTAAACTAAGTAAAATTGTCCTTTTGCTTAACTAATTAAGCATTACGTCATGAAGACGTATGGGAGAGTGAATATGTGGATCCATGTTTTCTTGACCTCGGCACTATTTGGAGCTTCACGCCCCGATCGCTTTACCCCCGAGGAAAGAGTCCCCGGTATCCATTCGACAGGAGGTTGGATGGGCCCCAGGGCCGGTTGGAACTTCGTGAAGCAGAGAAAATTCTTGAATCTACTCAGACTCGAACTCCGACCCACCGGTCGTCCAGTACTTAGTCAGTCGCTATACCGACTGCGCTATCCAGGTTCCTAAGATTCTGAAGTACTGAAATAAATTACCGGACACTCTTGTATTTGTGTGTGTTCATACGTGCACTGTCGTATAAGTGTTCAACACTATTGCCGCAACCCGCCTTAGAACAGATTTTCAGAGAGCTCCACCCCCAGTCCCCACACCCTATCTCTAGGCTCAATACCAAGTTCTCCCAACTAATTCTTAGTCGTCCGTGTGTATGTTTCCCTTATCAAAATTGTGCATGCATTCATGTGTTCCCATCCTAACCACAAGTCCAAATCATCGTGACTTCACACGTGACGTGTAACGTCCAGTATTTACCGTCCGTCAATATTGCAACACTCTTCCATTCACCACTCAATTTTTAGTTTAACATTATACACCTTGAAACTACATGTTTCGGCCCAAAACGACCATATTCTGGTGTCTTGATATGTTGCAATTATTTTATTGAATTATGTTAAAACTGCTACACTGTCTTAGTTCGTGTTAAAATCACACGCTGTAGTCCTCTTTTCAAGGTAAAACCAGATAAAATCCTTTGAAGTTTCTATTATACCCACATAATTTTGGTGCATATTATTTCACCTCACAAGGGGTGTCGTCCATTGTTCATAAATGTATGTCTGTCCAGGGTGTTTTGTTTCGGCAGCTTCCCCCTCACGTTCGTAGCCTACTTTTCAGTTATGACTGCCATATGTCCCTGGTTTGCATGTTTCCCCCACAGCATGTGGTGTTGTCATTTACTAGTAGGCTACAAACGTGAGGGGCAAGCTGCCGAGACAAAACACCCTGGACAGAATGGACAATGGACGACACCCCGTGTGAGGTGAAATAATATGCACCAAAATTATGTGGGTATAATAGAAACTTCAAAGGATTTTATCTGGTTTTACCTTGAAAAGAGGACTACAGCGTGTGATTTTAACACGAACTAAGACAGTGTAGCAGTTTTAACATAATTCAATAAAATAATTGCAACATATCAAGACACCAGAATATGGTCGTTTTGGGCCGAAACATGTAGTTTCAAGGTGTATAATGTTAAACTAAAAATTGAGTGGTGAATGGAAGAGTGTTGCAGTATTGACGGACAATAAATAATGGACATTAAGTTGAACAATTGCAACCATTTTAATTATATTAGGCAGTTCTGTAGGTAACGAAGTTCCTCATTGTGTGAACCTAAAAATGCTTAATTACGTCATTATACCCAGGTTAACATGTCAGGTGTATGAGTAACTATAGTCGAGGTTTGGATTGTTAATTGGATTTATTCACTACTGACAGATCATAACTACAAGTAACTATAGCTCTATGGTTAATTAATACACTTTGCAGTTTCATAAAACAAGTCTTCTCAGTCTGCAGTGTCTTCATCAATCGTTGCCTGGTAAATGTTTCCAACGGCTGACGTTCCTCTTACTCTGGGTTTCCGAAATATCCCCATGCCTCACTTACCAGCTTTTAACAGCAACGGTTCACCACGACTGAACTGCAGTTCTCTGACTAACTTACCAACTCAACTTCGAACTCTTCTTTGCACTGCACTAAGGTAAGGTAAAGTTGTCCGTATGCTTAACTAATTAAGCACTACGCCATGAAGACGTATGGGGGCGTGGACTTATAGATCCACATTTTCTTGATCTCGACACAAGTTGGAGGTGACAGGTCAGCTTCATGCCCTGGCCGCTTTACCCCCGGGGAAGGAGCCCCCGGTACCCAATGGATAGGATGTTGGTTAGACCCTAGAGCCGGTCTGGACGACGTGGATAAGAGAAAATTTTTGACCCTACCTGGACTCTTAACTCTGTCCCTCGGCCTTCCAGTCCGTAGCCAGTCGCTATAATGACCGCTCTATCCCGACGCTTTGTACTGCACTGCACTGCACTAACTTTCTCTAATTGTTCTGCTTATAACTTCTAGGAATGGACCGCACAGAAAACACCGTTCCTCTGTTGCTGTATCCATTGTTGCGTGCGCAAGCATCGGCGGACCGCACAGAAAGCACCATTCTTATCTTGCTGTTTACGTGGTGTTGCCTCGTAACAGCCGTCGTGTAATTGTTTATTCCGCCGTCTTTGCCTAGCAACGGGTCTACATGCCACAATATTTTAGATGAATTTAAAGCACATGTCGATTTTTCTGAACACTTTTTTTTCAGACTCATGTAATGTATTCCCGTCCGTCGAAATAAAAGGCCACGTTTCACACCCACCAAAAAGAAATAATTTTGCGGCTTATCTCGCATGGATCTGAAACGTGTTCTCTTATCGAAAAGAAAGAATATAAACTATTCGCATAGAAAGCGACAAATCACTATTTTCCGCCGTAGGTAACTTGTAATAATTTGTGACTTGTATTAGCTTCGAAAATTTTCATTTTGAGATAATTTGGTTTAAGTATCTCAGAATATATATTAAGAAATCATTATGTATTACCTACTTCAGTGAGGATATGAACTCTGTAGCTTCAGATTAAATTACCATTACACAACTTCTCCTACTCTCCACTCTGGATATCAGCGTAGGTTATCCAATGGTTGCCAAAGGCGCGTTTTGTTGACTTCTTTTCCAATAATTTTTTGCGGCCTTGGCCTTCTTACGTAAACATCCTCTAAAGGAATACGGAATTAGAGACAGCTGATCAGGCTGCGTGTATCAAGGAAACCCCATATCATGTCACTGTGAATTATTCTCACTAAAAAACCGATTCGCAAGTTTTCGAACATGGTAAATCATAGATGAGTCTAGTGAACAGGCATGTACTGTTTTATGAAGTCTGAATGTGGGATGACTTTCAAAAGACGAACATATTTGTGACTGCAGCTTCTCAGGACGAATTTCAAGACTCAGGCGCAAGTGACCATTTAGCGGGGAAAGGGCATAGCTGCCTGCATTAGCAATGCAGACTGTAAACATCACTCAACTTCCAACAGAATGTGCCGTTTTCAGTTGCCGGCTGAGTGGATGGAACTTGCCTTGAATAAAACATATAGGACTTCTGAAGGATAATGACGCGTCTCTGAAGGCCTCGTCTAGTTCAACATTCCCATCATCTTCCCTCATTTAAACTTACTAATAATACTGTCACGTAGTATGTTGATTATAGACGGGGTTTGAATGGATTTGTTGATCAATTATACACATGACTCGGAACTACAATCAATTACAGCACCACCACCAATCACCACAGCACCCGCTAAGTCTTTTCCCAGCCTGCTGTGTCTGTATCAGCCGTTCCCTGACAACGGATTCTAACAGTGGAGATTCTTCAGCTTCACGTGTTCAGGTCTGCTCTTCATAGCCTCCCGTGAAGAACTATCAACTAACTTCGTCCTTTGCTCCTTAACATTTCGGTAGTGACCACGTAAAACACCCCGTTTCCATTCTTGTAGTCCAACTGATGCATTATTAAGAATCCGCTACCTAGCAAACAGAACTTGTATACCGAGGCGTTGTCCAGAAACGGTCGCTGTTTACAAGTCACTGCTCAGCAACCGGTCTATACGCCACAATGCAAAAAAGTCTCCGCAGACCGAGTCATAACCATTCCTGCGCATGTAGAGGTGGTGCAACTGAATAAATTTCGAAAATTTAATTTTTGCTTTTGTGTGTTATTTTCATTAAATAACTTGAAAATATAAAATAAATAAATTTGTCCCTGTTAAGCACCATGCTTTGGGGGAGTGAAGTCATAGTTGCACGTATTCCTAATCACGGCGCTGGATGGAGATGAATAGTGAGCTTCACATCGCCCCCTCAGACAATTTACCCCTAGTACACATAGGGTGACAAATGCGTATTAGAAGGGTGGTCCTACCGAGTGTATACGAGTATTTTATCTGCTAGAACACTCGACGAATATGGGTGACGTTTGACAACGCTATGGGTGAATTTTTATTGTAGTCTACATTGCCCTGTCTTAATATCGTGACGTGACGCCTGAAAGCCGGAATAAGCCATTGCTAGACAACGCTTCATTAAACACATTCTCGAGGTTACGCAGTAAACAGTGGGCCCTCCGTTGCTAGGTAACAGGTCCCCCAAACAGAGATTTCCGCTGCAACGGATACGCCGATGAAGGTCAAAGCGTGTCCACGGACTGACATACGTTTCCGCGGCAACGAATATTTAACAGAGACACATTCCCGTGACAAAGGAAGAATGACAACTAACTGTTCGAGCTGGTGATCTGTATTCGGGACTCCTGGAAGTTACAAAAGAGTAGTGATTCATTCGTAAGTGAATTCAGAAGGAGACCGGTGTGTGAGTAGTGATTCACCGTTAATCATTCGTCACATTGGAAGAGAAGACGCTTGTGGTTCAGTAAAGAATGGAGCGATTTGTAGACAGCCACTGACTGTGAGCTATCATAATTCACTGTAACTGTAAAGAAGCGTCAACAGACCCAATCATCTAATCCAGAATCCAGTAGTATAAATCGCACAAACCCTGAATACGTGACTATACTTTGATCCACTGGCAAAGAGAGTTGCAAGGAGGTGCTATGGGTATGTGGTTCGCTCCGTATTCACGTAGCTGTGTCTCAGAATCCAACTTGCGGCAGCTCATACCACTGAAGTGAGGTACACGTGTATCTTGAGCAGCACATGAACAAAAGACTAACTCATGCCGCAGTCCGGCAATATCAACAATGAATACGTCACCGAGTATGTTCGTGCAGTCTGAGCGCTGTAGTCACATTCGCAACGTACCCAATACGAATTCCAGTGGTGTTACCGATGACCCTACTCGAAGCTTGTCGTGTTTTTCTTTTAATGTATCCGGGCGAGAAGGCCACGACCGCCTCCCCCCCAGAAACCATGACGTTCCCACCAAAAATGATCATTTACCATGTTAATTGAAAGAATGAATGTATATAAAGTCACCCTATGTATATGTACCTAAAGGAAGACGGAAGATTGGTGCATTTGAGAACAGATAGAAAGCAACAGGAACCGACTTAAATGTCATAACATTAATAAAAGAGGGGAGGTTGGTATGAGTGCGATAAGGACCAACATGAAAAAAAAATGCTTACAAAGTTTTAGTTAGGAAACTTGAAATCAAGAGTCCACTATGGGTATATACGCATATATGGGATGATAATATTAAAATGGGTGCGGCTTTAAAAACTGAACACATATTTTAGACGTGGAATGGTCTCAACTGACTGAGGGTGTAGTCCAAAGTCATTCTCATGTGAACATGGTAATGAACCTACGTGTTTTATAAAAGCAGTCTAATTTCTTTCAGCTGAGAAACTATCAGCTTATCAAGACAGATTTTGATTTATAACCTTACCGCCATCTTTGAGCCGATTGTCTAGATAATGTGGAAGCCTTAACGTCTCACAGCCCTATGAGCCTTCACGGCCTGTTACAGGGATAGCTTTACTTTTTTTTTTTTTTACTTTAGGTACTTAATATGAATGACGTAATAGTTACATAACTTAAAATGTTCATTTGTCTTTCCGTAGGCCGAGACACGGCATTCCTTAGAAGATTCTGCCAGATTTCATCCAGGTTTCCGTTCTTTGGATTTCGTAACAGTAATGTTCAGCTTTGCGTTCAACTGCCAACATGGAGGGCCAAGTCTCTGTGTTTATGCCCTCCAGTGTCAGAATGGCCCAGTTCCGTTTTTATCTCACTCTATGACTCGCAGGGGTAAGGTGGAGGTATTCTAACCCGGCTCGACGCAAGAAAATACAACAGATACATTGCGGAAATATAACCATTCAAGTTTCCAGCGAGGCGATAAATAATTTGTTACGAAAGACGAATGCATCCTATATAAGATTTGAGGTTTTCACGGCGGTGACTATGAAGAAAGCAGTCTTCTGGGATGTGGCACCGTGTAGATGTGGTGTTAACCGACGTTTTGGAGGAACATATCGCCCCCATCTTCATGGTAGACTGCTTGTACCGGTTCTCACGGTCTCTTCGCTTGCGGATTTTCTTATTTTTCCTTCTACCCTGAAGATGGAGGCGATACATTCCTCCGAAACGTCGGTTAACACCACATCTACACGGTGCCACATCCCAGAAGACTGCTTTCTTCATAGTCACCGCCGTGAAAACCTCAAATCTTATATAGGATGCATTCGTCTTTCGTAACAAATTATTTATCGCCTCGCTGGAAACTTGAATGGTTATATTTCCGCAATGTATCTGTTGTATTTTCTTGCGTCGAGCCGGGTTAGAATACCTCCACCTTACCCCTGCGAGTCATAGAGTGAGATAAAAAGGGAACTGGGCCATTCTGACACTGGAGGGCATAAACACAGAGACTTGGCCCTCCATGTTGGCAGTTGAACGCAAAGCTGAACATTACTGTTACGAAATCCAAAGAACGGAAACCTGGATGAAATCTGGCAGAATCTTCTAAGGAATGCCGTGTCTCAAAAAGGGCTCTTATGCCGGTGATGATTATGATGATGTTTGTTTTATTGCACTGTGTAGGTAGGGGCCTTGGGTTGCCTTGTTCCACCACGTCAGGCATCCTATCAGATATTCAAACTGTGTACATGCAGATGACGATGCAGAGAGTAGTTGTCATATTTCCCACAGTTAGTTGTGATTAACTTGTAAAGCTTTATTAATATCGCTATTCATCCCTCGTTCAGTTTTTGTGAGTCCTGTGAATGCGATGCTGAGACAGAATCTCTGACTGCTGACATCTCGACTGCTAGGTAAAGGTACAGTTCTCCCTGTGCTTAATGAGCCATAAATATGTATCAGTATTTCTTCTAAACAATTCCAGTCTGAATTTTATTTGTATTTGTTCCAGAAAATGATTTATTTCTTTGGAATTAGCGCATAACAAAGAGGATTCCTTTATTTATATTTTTAGTTTAATGATGATTACAACGAGCTTTTCTCTAGTCCTACTTCTTGTTCTTCTTCTTGCTTTAGAAGGACGTTAAGAAACCATACAGATACCTTGTTGCAAGAGAAAATCTAAAACATTCCACTAATTATTGATCTCAGTCTTAAATTACAGCTTTCTGGGATGTGGTGCCGTACAGATGGGCAGGTATATATCGACGTCTGGAAGGAACCTGCTGCCTAAATTTTAAGTGTACTGTAGCGGACGGCTCCACATCCCACAAGGCCGTAATTTCGACAATTAGTTCCGTGAGAACGCCAAATTTAGAGAACTTCCATTTTCAGCCGCGAATTTATGTGCCCAGTAGAAACAACGGGATGTTTTGATGTCAGTGGGTCTGAACTTCGGTAGCAGGAGATATGAGACGATCATGGAGGCCGCGCGGTCTAAGGCCCGCTCGAACATTTGAGTCGTTGGTTCGAATCCCACTCGAGGCATGGGTGTCTGTGTGTAGGTAGCGGCGTTGCGACAGGTTGATACGCCGCCCAAGGAGTCCTACCAACTCTGTATAGGATTAAGAACTTGATAAAGCAGCCAAAGTCAAAAGGGCTGTTGAGCCATAGAGAGATATGGGCTTGTCAGCATGTCTGGCCTTACTGGTAGAAGCTAATCTTTGCACTAAACACAATGTGAATCTTATAAAACAGAAAAAATTTAGAAGAGCATGGGCTTATATAGGAAAAGCAAAATTCTTGGACAGAAAGGAGTCCATGTATTTAAATTTCCGAAGAATGAGCTTCCTCTGTCTTGAAACTGTGGATGAATTTAAAGGCCACGCAGTAAAATACAGCGATGAAACAATGTGAGTACAAATATTTCACTGCTCCTTAACCGTAATCTGCTGTATATTACAGCTTAGTGGGACTATTAGTGTGCGCGTCTATTTTATGAATTCCGGTTCCATTTAAGACAGGCATTGTTACGCGTAAATATATTGATTGCCTATTCCGATGTCTTGCGAAGACTTTTGATTGTATTATCAGAAATGACTGGATGAGTCCGAAATTCGTAATTACGAATGTTTGTTTCGGATTCTCGGTTATACGTACCCAGGAGTAACTGCGAATTTGGAGGGGCTCTTCTTCTACAGGGTGATTCATATAGAACCGGCCTGACGATATGAGATGTAATATAAAATATACCATACAGATATTAAAGTAATTTACACGTATCTTATCTTGGATTGTGTGCCGTGATCAGAGCAGGTGTTGAAAGTGTCCGCCGTTTCCAACTAGGCCTTAGAAACACTCGCTGTTCAACATTGTACTCCATGACTGTCGCCTGCGCACTGCAGCCACGTTTCGGCATTGTCCTTGACCTTGCAGCATGAGGGCTGCCACTTGCCGGATCATGCGCACACCATTCGACTCAGCACGGCCCACGGATTGTTATGTCGTAATTGTGAGCGGTTGTATGCATCACCTGCGGAATTATTAGCAAATTCATCGGGCCGGTTCTATACGATTCACCCTGTATATTACGCCTTTATGATGTCTAGATATAAGCAAGGGGCCGTAAACTGAGAGAAAATCTGCCAGAAAAAACGACACAAGCTAAACCTTGGGTAGCGTTTTCGTAGGAGCACGTTGTAAGGAGTAAGGACGAGAAATTTGTGTTTTCGTTACATCACTGTTTTTTCGCAGAATCAATGAGCTTTGTGCCAATACTGTGTAAACCATCATACGAGTATATTTTTAAATACCTGAAACTTTACATTTAATTTTATTTTGATCAGAAATTCATATGTCCCCAAATATAAGCGGAACTTGACACGGATTCACACCAATTAACATTGTGCGTTGTAATACAAGGAAAATAGGAACTGAAATACATTAGTCTTCTTACAAGTTAAATTTAGGAACTGAAATAGAGTAATCCTTAAAATGAACCAAGTTTAACTAAAATTGAAATATGTCATCATTTTAACGTAAACATGCCATCCCGAAATTTTTGCAGCAGGTCCCTTAATTCATGGGCTTCTACGTGGGAGTGACAGACTAATATTATAAAACTTTCAGATTCTTTTTGAAACACGACGAAATTAGTTGACAATATGACAACCGAAATGTTAAACCATGCATAAAGGTGCTGTGAAAATGGGGACCAAATTGGATTATTTGTTTGCTTTGAGCTGCTTGACAAGATTAACGTGGACACACACATTCCTAGCTACGAAATTTATATCCTTGACGTACCCCTCGTCACAATGACACAGACCGGGAGCAACACACACACCATGAACACAAGCAGGTTCGCATTTCGGGATGCACCTGTGGTTTAATGGGTCTGTCAAGTCCTTCTTATACCCGGGTTTGCATGTACAGAAATCAGGACTGGTGCAGGTCCCGTTGATACACACGTGGGTACATATGGGTACACATTTGTCATCATTCCCCGTCTTTCTGTAACCTGGGTTGCATCTGCACCTGTTAGGCTTGTGGCAATAGCCGTTCTCGCAGCGATTCTTGCACAGAGGAAGGCATTGTCCTGTGAGTAGGGACGGAGTGTAACCTGTGGCAGAAAAAGAACTCTGTTGGATTTTGATGACCTGAAAATATTTAAAAAATGACCTATAAAATGACTGAAAAAATCCAGAAAAATGACCTAAAATATGACTAAAAAATGTAGTATGCAGGGCCCGGATTTTGATGACCTGAAAATATTAAAAAATGACCTATAAAATGACCGAAACATCCAGAAAAATAACCTAAAGGAGAAAAGAAAGAGCACTTCGCTTCCATGTTATTCACATTTCAAAAAACATATGAAGAAAAATTCCGTAAAATGGCCAAAAATGACAAGAAATAACCTTAAAAATCCAAAAAGTACCCCCAAAATAAAAAAAATTACAAATTACCTATAAAATTTACATTTCTATAACCAGCAGCTCATATCCGAGATTTATATATTTAAGAGTATCGCATAGGATACAAGGAAAAAAAGATGACATGTTATCAAAATCCGGGCCCTGATTATCACTAAGGGCGAGGACACACCAGGAAACTGGCAACCGCAACGCAACTGCAATTTCCGAGAAAAATCGCCCATTTCAAAGAGACAATTGGTTTCCAGCTTAGCAGGCGCACACTAAGGAGACTTGTTTAATAGCTGCTCACGTCATCTTAAGAGGTTATGTTCGTCCGACGTAAGGCATGATTGTATTTTTTTATTATCGTGCACTTACCTTTTTGCAGTGGAAGATAATAATACTGATCCTGTCATAATGTGGTGGTAGTTGAGCCCGGCTGAGAAGGCGTCGGAAGAGAGGATGAGGACCATAAGGGAAAGATTAGGTTGTTAATTAATTTGTGTTAATTAAGTTAAATTTATTTTAATCAGGACATATCGCGTTCACACGAGATACGAAATTTTTACATAGTGCAACTATTTTAGCAAGACAGAAGACACCTGAAGGAGCTGGGGAACGCACTCGATATAGCGATTGGCTACGGGCTGGACGACTGCGGAGTCGGAGTTCGAGTCCCAGTAGGGTCAAGAATTTTCTCTTCTCCACTTCGTCCAGACCGCTTCTGAGGTCCACCCAACCTCCTATCCAATGGGTACCGAGGGCTCTTTCCCCGGGAGTAAAGGGGCCGGGCGTGAAGCTGACCGCTCACCTCCAGCTAGTGCCCAGGTCAAGAGAATGTGGATCTGTACATCCACTCACATCTATACATCCATGCCGTGTATAGCCGAACCGTGTAAGGTGGTATAAAGGCCACTCTGTAATACGTTACATTAAAGACGGAAATATATGTGAAATAAATGATATATTAATGCAAGAGGAAGCTTCAATACAATATTAGGAAAAGAAAGCGCCACGTGCATTCATTCTCTGTGACAATTGAAACTGAAGCGCTGAACTTAACCTGGATCCAGACTCCTTCGTCTCATGGGAAATTGTTTCCTAAGCCAAAACTCATTTTGTCCTGCCTAGCATAGTCTGGGTGGCGTTTGTCTTGCTCAGGTAACTGCACAAAAACAAAATTAGCACCTTCATTAACCTTTCGTGCCATCTTAAGAGACAAATGAATCACTGAAGCTCGTCATAGAACAGCTAACACTAGGAAACCATGCGGCAACGCAGTTGTGAGGGGATTGGCATGCTCCGTTGCCTGGAAGTTGAGTTTCTCAGTCTTTCCGTTAGTTGCGTTGCCGTTTCCCCAATTCGTGCTGCTCCAGTCAGTAACATGTATTCAACTCAGGTTGATAACAATTCTCGGAAATTGTGGTTGCGTTGCGGTTGTCAGTTTCCTTGGTGTGCCCTCGTCCAATTAAGCGGAAACTGTTTAAGGAGATAACGGATATGAAAGAGATTATTGTAACGGAATATGCCCTGGTTGAATATTGTTGTTATCTGTTCATATGACTCTCTTCCGTGCCGTGCTTCCTGTAACTGACTAGGAACGTTCCTGTTACAAGAGAGAGGAAACCAAACTGCACTGCGAGAGCAGTGAGAAAGAGAAAGTGAAGAGAGACAGAGGTTTCGGGAGAGGAAGGAGAGGGGTAAATGGAAACCTCGACGTTCCTTATATTCAGCAACAGTGCACATATGCAACAGTAGCGTGCTTGGGCCGCGCCATGGCTCACGCGGTTAGTCGCCGGCTTCCCACCGCGGCGGCCCGGTCATGTGGGATTTGTGGTGAACGGAGTGATACTGGGGTAGGTTTCTCCGAATTCTTCGGTTTCCCCTGCCAATTATAATTCCACCGACTGTTCCACATTCATCATCTATCATCTGGGGCTGGTACAACAAGCTAATTAGTGGCAGACGTACCAAGTTGACTAAGTCTCACCCCACCCCAAGAGACTAAAGAAAACAAACAAGAAATAAATTCCGTGGTGTTAGTCCGCAAGCGAACTATACCGACCGCCGCTTGTCGGCGAAGTTATTGCCTCTGTCGTCTAGTGGTCAGGGTTCCTGGCTACAGATCTAGAGGTCCCGGGTTCGATTCCCGGCGCTATCAGATTTTCTGAGAAGTAGTGCGTCTGGAACTGGGTCAGCTCAGCCTTGTGAGGGTAATTGAGGAGCTATTTCAAGGAAATAGCGGCTCCGGTCTAGAAAACCGAAATGAACGGCCGTGGGAATTCGTTGCGTTGACCACACAACACCCTCTATCCGCTAAAGTTCGCAAACAAGAGAAAAAATTAACATTAGTATGCTGGATTTGAACTTGATCTCAAATGGCCAGAAATATTTGCAGAGTTTTAAAATTGGAAAACCTAACCAGGTAGTATGACACTGTTACAGTAGATGAAGCTGTATTCTGATTCGCGACATAGACGTGAAACAAACAGCACCTTCTGAGGCTGTGATTGCTCCATCTTGATGCTCCTCGTTCGGACAACTTCACTGTGGAAATGGATTCCGATATTTGGAGTTGCTTTCCTTCACATCTCTCCAATTTATGGAAGTGGGGTTAGTGCAGTCGGTATAGCGACTGACTACGGGCTGGACTACCAAGGCGTCGGAGTTAGGGTCCCGGTAGGGTCAATAATTTTCCCTTCTCCACGTCGTCCTGACCTGCTCTTGGGTCCACCCAACCTATCCAATGAGTGCCGGGGGCTCTTTCCCCGGGGGTAAAACGGGCAGGGCGTGAAGCTGATCAGTCACCACCAATTAGTGCCGAGATCAGGAAAACGTGGATCCATATATGCACTCCCCCATACGCCTGTGCTTAAGTAGTTAAGCACAGGGACAATTTTCCCTTTACCTTACCCCCCCCCCCCACACACACACACACAACCTCTGTCGTTAATCAGACAAACAAGAAGAAGGCTGAGAAGTACGAACCTGGCAGACAGACGCATGTGTTGGGGGCAATGCAGTGTCCATTGCTGCATCCATCAGGGCACGCTGGCAAGCACACGTTACTGTTCACGTGCTTCTTATCATACCCATCCAGACAACGGCAGAAGTTGGGCAGGTAGCAGTACGCGTTAACGCATTCCTTCGCACAAACCGGCACACAGAGTAAGCCATTCGCGTGCAGCTTGTAGCCTGCGTTGCAGGCGCGACCGTTTCCTATGGAAATGCCAATAAGAATTGAGTGGAAACCCTGCGGGTTTTATGTAAGTGACTGCACCATATAAACAGAATGAGTAGCAATAGTCAGCTGGTAATAAAGTTAATAAGACCCTACAAGTGGACAATAGCAGACCAATTGTATCTGGCCTTCACTTTTAATACCAGTCTCTAAGATCCATTTAAACATTGTCTTAACACATGCATCTAATTCTCCTACATAGACTCTTATGTTCAGGTTCGAAAATGTTATATATCCTTATTATTCCCCACATGTTCATGTGCGCCATCATTTCATCTTCCTTAAATTGTTCGCTCAAATAACGGCCGCTGACGGGTAACAGCTGTGGCGCTCCTCATTTTGCTGTTACTTCCTCGTTGCTGAGTTCAACTGCTCTGTGCGGCACTGCTTTCTCGGTCTCAGTCGAATCTATATTCTTCCCTCATTTTTGGAGACAGAGAGTAGCACAATCTTATGACAACAGCTAAATTGCATTCTTGTATTATCACGTGTAGGGTGGTACGCGTGACGAAAATGACGGGTTATAGATTGGATGATTGGATTTATTAGCAATTCGTTTTCAAGCTATCTTAATTACAATTAATACAGAGGTATCGCTGATTTGTTCGCTTTCCAGTTCACCGTTGCACACGCACTAGGCTTCTCAGTTTCCACTAGCCATTTCCTAGCAACGGAACTCAATACAGAAATTAGCACTTCTATGAAGTTTTCTTCTTATTTCGTCTTTGATTATTTTGGAACCTCGGAACTAAAAATTCTTCTGGACTGACTCCTCCAGCTTACGACTGGCTCGTAACTCGTAACTGCTCCTGAACCCATTTTGTCAAAGTCAAAGTCAAAGTCACATTGCGACTGCCGGTCATGAGCCCCAGGAGGGCTCATGACCAAATATTTATTACTGTTTGACAGTTATGGTCTTGTTTTTTGCGGGTGCCCTCTCTAACGAGAATACGGGTCTGTCTTTTGTATATGCTGCTGGTCCTTGCCAGCGTAGTCTTTCTCGGGTCCGAATCCCTTGGTACTCAAGACCATTATTGTCTCAAATCTGAGACTTCCCTTTCCGTCGCCTCCTACGACTCACAGGGTCATGGTGGAGGCATTCGACCCCGCAGCCATAGGGACACACTGTCACTGCATTCACTTCTCTTATAAGCAGTCTGCACAGACACCACGGAAAACACCGTCTCTATTGTTGATGACCTCACCGCTTGCGAGGAAATGTTTTTACCGAGCCGTTGCTTAGAAAGGGGTTGCATAACCCCGTTGTCCCAACGCTACTAGGCGCTGACGACATAGAAGACACAGCATCATCTATTGTTGCGTGTTGGACCAAGTTTACACAGCTGTTCCTGGTAACGCGCTGATCAAATCCGTTACAGTGTATTTTAATGTTTAGAAAAAGCTTCGTTTTACTGCAGACTTACAGAGCTTCTTTAGCATTTGAATATTGTCTTATGTTTAGAAGAAAATTCTATTGAACACATCTGAAAACTTTCCGTCCTTCAAAAGCAAGAGACTGCCCCCAAATCTGTTCATTTAAAGCATTCTGTCGAATTAACGGGAAAGTTAGGATTTAAGCCTGTCAGAAATCAACTTGTAGAATTCTTATTAGAGTGTTATGAGTTATGCATTGAACATGGAAAGTTTCATTTGGAACAAAGTTCAGTAAGTAATAAAGAAATTTCTGCCGTATTTCATTTTACATTTACTAACCACACTTTCGGAACATGCTGTATATCTTCGTATAAACTCTGAGGTTCACGGAACGCCTTGTGAAAACCATATGATTGAAACTTTCATGCCACGTACCTGCACTCTTTAATTTCTGGCGACCGGTTGCTTCGTTCATACGTTCAGGCTTCTCAATGACTTCGTTCATAAATCCGATAACATTCCTGGTAGCACTGTTTCTTTCCCAGACTTTGCCGCTGTCTCCTACAATTCCCACGATTACTGCGAATAGGAGAGTCAGTGAAAAATTACGCATCTTGAACGGAAACATATACGACTGGTCACTGCAGCGCCACTGTCAGTTCATAAGCTAATTAGAACAGAGTAGAGTAGGCAGATACTAAAAGGAAGCACAAATTGTGGGGTTTGATAGCTAATTATCAAACAACAACGCCCAATATTCATTTATATTAATTGGCTCTATAGATAAGTCAGAAATCACTGACTGATTAGTTTCCTCTACTTCATCACTCATTGGAATAGTCCAATGTAAAGAGTGGCGTATGTCAATGACAAATGAGAGCTGTATACAAAATGTCCCATCTCATATGAGTAAGAACGTAGAGAGAATGAAAGTCATTATAAAGAGTGTCCTAACTCAGTTCATTGAAGGTTTGACAAGTGACCTACGTCAGCGCGAATACTTTGCTAACTCAGTTTAAAGAAGGGTCATTAATGAGTGTCCTTTACAGTGAAAGGATATAGAGATGTTAAGCGTGTCCTACCGCAGTTCAATGAAGGGATGATAAAGGGTGTTCTACACAAACCTAAAGAAACAGATATATAAAGATGAAGAAAGCAGTCTTTTGGGATTTGGCACCGTGTATATGTGGTGTTAACCGACGTTTCGGAGGAACGTATCGCCTCCGTCTTCAGGGTAGAAGAAAAAATGTAAGAAATCTGCAAGCGAAGAGACCGTGAGATTTCCTATATTTTTTCTTCTACCCTGAAGATGGAGGCGATACGTTCCTCCGAAACGTCGGTTAACACCACATGTACACGGTGCCAAATCCCAGAAGACTGCTTTCTTCATAGTCACCGCCGTGAAAGCCTCAAATCTTAGATATGTAAAGAGTTTTTTTTTTCCTTGGTGCTACAGCCCCAGTGGGCCTAGGCCTACCTCCATGAACTTCTCGGTTCACTTCGGTTTTTCGAGATCTTACACATTCGGTAGGACTTCTTAGGTGGGCGATCAGCTCGTCGCAAGGCCTCTACCTGTACACAAATACAAAAGAACGCACACACACAAACTATACATCCATGCCCTGAGTGGGATTCCACCCACGATCCCGGCTTCCAAGCGAGCGAAAACAGTACATGCCTTAGACCTCTCGGCTACCGTGACCGGCATATAAAGAGTAGCTTACCACAATTCGATTAATGATTAACGGTGTGATATATCCGTGCAAATAAAGAGATTCAGAGAAGGACGAATAAGGAGTGCAGGACGCGAAACCTGTAAGTAGTGTCTTACTTGAGTATAAAGGAACGCGCTGCGTCCTTATCAGGCTCGTCTTCCCGTTTGGTGCTCTCCTCACGGCACCGTGTCTCGTGTGACAGAGCAAGTAGCTACGTCCGATTACATCTGCAGTTGTTTATATTCTGCTATTAACTCCGCGGAGGTGAGCCCTTCTTGAGAAGCCACCAGTCGCTCACTTATTCATGTAGTTTCCAAAATTTTACGTAATCAGAAAGTTTGTTGCCGTATTCATACTAGCCCATCACTGGTCCCTATCCTGAACCAGATGAACCAAGTCCATACGACCTCATCATAATCCTCTGAGAATCATTTTAATATTATCCTACCACATGCGTCTAGTCTTCATAGTGGTCTCTTTCTTTCTGGTTTTACCATCAAAATCCTACATGCAGTCCTCTTCGCCCCGTGAGTGCTACATTGCCCTGCCCAGCCAATGTTTCTTGCCTTGATTGTTGTACTCGTAATTATATTTGGTGTGGAACACAAGTTATGAAGCTACTCACTAAGCAATTTTCTCCAATCGCCTATCGTTTTATTCATCCACAGTTAAAATACACATTCTCTTAAGCATCCTGTTCTCAAATACCTTTCGGTCTACGTTTCTTTTTCTTCATGCCAGAGTCCAAGTTTTACACCCATACAGAACTACAGGAAAAAATTATGTTTTGTATATTATAATTTTTGCGTTTTTAGACAGCAGACGAGAAGATAAAAAATTTTGAACCAAATGTCAGCAAGCATTACCTCAGTCGAAACTTCTCTTAATTTCCTCACGAATCGAATTTTAGTTTGTTACTGTCACCCCGAAATATTTGAACTTTGCACACAGTTGTGAAGGATCCGATATCTATCTTCAGGTTGTGGTTTTGCCGGTGCATTTTGCATTCCGGTGACGAGAGGGCAGAATATTCTGCTGTGATTGAAATATTCTTAGGTAACTGTACAATGCCTTTTCAACCAAGTAGTTCAAAATAAAGTGGAACAGTGATCATGAACGGTAAAACCCGAGCCTCACTTTGGGCGATTGTTATGTGTGGCCGCTAGCAGCCCTCGTTCCGGGAGGCAACGCGGATGTTCGGACGTTCTGTGTACTTACACGGCCGGCAGTAGTGCCCCGGGACCCACATCTTCGGTCCCCTAAGCAGTTTGTGGAGCAAATTTTCCGTCGGTTTAGTGCAACTACGAAGAAATAAACCTAGTTTTTTTTTCTTTCCAAACTGAAACGTCTTAAATGAAAGATAGATGGCTTGCTGTGTTAAATTATGAACCCTGAAGATAGAGGTGGTACATTCCTCTGTAACGCCCGTAAAATCCCACAAGACTGCACGGCTCCACATTCCAGAAGGCAGTGATGTTAACAAGTTCAAGAATCTTATTAAACCCGATCCACACTCCCATCCACCCATGCACCCATCCACTTCTTAAACTATCCACTCCTTCACCCATCCACCCATCCACTCATGCACTTGTTAACCTATCCACACCTTCACCCACCCATCCATGCACTTGTTAACCTATCCACTCCTTCACCCATCCACCCATGCACTTGTTAACCTATCCACTCCTTCACCCATCCACCCATGCACTTGTTAACCTATCCACTCCTTCACCCATCCACCCATGCACTTGTTAACCTATCCAC